GTCCTGCTCTCCATCCCACGTGAGAAGTTTGGTGGGGAAGGACCCATGAGGACCTTTTGTGCTAGGGAAAAGCCATATATACCTCTACATACCAGCCCTCCCACCCCGTTATCCCCCGTGAGAAGCCCAGCCCAGCCTGCAGCCCCCGCCTGGCCTCCAGCCGAGGAGGGAGGACCACTTTGGGGACAAAAATAAGCGCATCCTTCCAGCCTGCTCCCGCTGCGGCCTGGCAGTCCAGGCTCTCATTACCTTGTGGTTTCCAGCGTATAAAAAACTTCCCCTTCACCGTACAGACCTCCAAAATAGACGAAGGGATGGCTAAACGTGTGGGGCATGCGCCCAGGAGCCAGGAATAAGATGCCCAAGTGCAAACCGTACCCGAAACCGCGAGCTCCCGGGCTGCAAAGCATTTCCCCCAGGGAAAAAAATACACGGCCCTTTCCAGCATCGCCCCATCGGATTCAACCTCCGCCGCGCCAGAGGAGGAGAGGCCACCGCAGCCACCCAGCACCCCGCTCCCAAGCTGGGGGTCATCGCACCCCCTATTATTGTATTATTATATATATTATTATTATAAGTGTGAAGAAAAGATGAGCCCTGCAGTGATGCCCCTTCCAGGGATCAATAAATAATAAATAAGGAATAAACAGCCAGCATAAAAGCCCTAATCCCGCTGCGTACCCCCCAGAGCATCCCCAAAGAGCAGCGATTCCTCGCTCAGGTGTCTTATTTTTTATTATATTATCCCATTATTTATCATGTTATTATATTTGCCTGCTTATTTCTTATTGCATTATCCCATTATTTATCATGTTATTATATTCACCTGTTTATTTTTTATTGCATTATCCCATTATTTACCATGTTATTATATTCAACTATTTATTTCTTATTGCCATACCCCATTATTTATCACATTATTATATTCACCTGTTTATTTTTTATTGCATTATCCCATTATTTACCATGTTATTATATTCAACTATTTATTTTTTATTATATTATTCCATTATTTATCATCTTATTAGCCTATTATTTATCTTTCACTCTATTCTTTTCTTATATAACCCTATTTTTTCCTCCCAGTTAGGGGTGGGAAGGGATAGGAACAGAGCATCTTTTCCTTCCCTCTCTTCACCCAAACCCCACGTTTCTCTAAACATTAACTGCAGCTTAATTAAAAGTCTGTTAGGGCAACGCCTAAGACTATACAAATTCCCATCACTCTCTTCTTCCAGCTGCCCATCATTGGGGAAAAAAAAATAATTAAAAAAAAAAATTAAATAAAAATTAAAGCATGTGCACAGGTTTTCCCCCGGCCCAGCCAAATCCGAGGGGATGGAGGAAGCTGCCGAGAGGGAAACGCAAATCGCAGGCGGTGACAAGGAGCGGATGACTCCCTCCTTATCTCCCTTTCCCACCGGGCTGATGGGGCGATTTGGATACGGCCAGTCCGGAAACAGGATACGGCCCAGGAACACCCACGTGCTGGTCCTGACCGCCAAGCGCCGGGAAGAAGGGGCAAGGAGGTCGCGGGAATTGTCTCCCGGGGAAAAAAAAAAAGAAAAAAAAAAAAAAGAAAATCCAACAAACTACCACATCAGGAGCAGCCGGGAGATGCTGTTCCGCCGGGGTCTTCCTCCTGAGACCCCCCCCTCCTACAAGGCTGAGCCTATAGACACAGTTGAGCAGGAGCCAGCAGGGGGATCATTTGGGGTCACCGGAGAGCATAATTAAATCCATAAGTAGGCAGCTGCTCGTTTAGCACGGGGTTTTGGGGTTTTTCCCCCCACTCTGCAGCAGCACGGCACACAATAAAGTAGGTGAGACTTCCCACCGGCCACCTCCCCGTAATGCATAAAGCAGGGTGGGAAAATAAGATAAAATTACTTATCCCCAATAATTTCACAGTAGCTATTGCTGCAAATATTCAGTCCCCAGCAGCTCATCCCACGGAGCTCAGGTTTTCTCTCCCAGCCCCCTTTTCCCCCCCCAAAAAAAAACCCTCACAGAGGACCCCATGAACCAAGAGGGAAAAGCCCAGGGAGCCGCGGATGCTACTGGGTGATCAAACGCTTTGGGTTTTCTTGCCCTGGTCAATCGTTCGCAGCCATTAATTGAAAACAGGGGTCAACCGCAGCTGCGGGCAAGACCATCACTGGTGGGGATGTGAGTCGATACGGCCCAGGCAGGGACGATGCTGAGCCCCAAGCTCAACCCTTCCGAGACCACATGAAATAGTTGCACGGCTTAAAAAAAATAAATAAATAAATAAAAAAACCCCAAAACAAATGCAAATCTTAAAAAAAAATAAAATTATCCTTTCTCCCCATCATCAGCTGCACAGAAGCTCCCACGTAAAAGCAGGCTGCAGCCCATGGGCTTGGCGGTTGTGGGATGCCCCCTGCGTGGGGACGGATGGGTCCCCTTCCCGAGGATGGAACCCATCCTGAGGATGGGTCCTCTCCCGAAGACAAAGCTGGAGGAGCCTTCGGGGCTGGGAGCGGAGCGGGACGGACCGGCCCTGCCCTCTGCTGGCTGCGTGGTGCTGGATGGCCGGGATGCTGGCCGGGATGAGGGATGGCGGGATGCTGGGTGGGATGCAGGACAGTGCAGGATGGGCAGGATGACGGCTGGGAAGGGGGATGGCACCAGATGGGCAGGATGCTGGGTGGGATGTGGGATGCTGGGTGGGATGTGGGATGGCACCGGAGAGGTGGGATGGCACCATATGGGCAGGATGCTGGGTGGGATGCAGCATGGCATCAGAAAAACGAGATGTGGGATGGTACCAGACAGGCAGGATGCTGGGTGGGATGTGGCGTGCTGGGTGGGATGCGGGATGGCACCAGATGGGCAGGATGTTGGCTGGGATGAGGGATGCTCAGTGGGATGCAGGATGCTTGGTGGGATGCAGGATGGTACCAGACAGGTGGGATGCTGGGTGGGATGTGGGATGGCACCAGACAGGCAGGAGACAGGCAGGATGCTGGGTGGGATGCGGGATGGTGCCAGATGGGCAGGATGCTGGGCGGGATGCGGAATGCTCGGTGGGATGCAGGATGCTCGGTGGGATGCAAGATGGTACCAGAGAGGTAGGATGTGGGATGGTACCAGACAGGCCGGATGCTGGGTGGGATGCGGGATGGTGCCAGATGGGCAGGATGCTGGGTGGGATGCGGAATGCTCGGTGGGATGCAGGATGCTCGGTGGGATGCAAGATGGTACCAGAGAGGTAGGATGTGGGATGGTACCAGACAGGCAGGATGCTGGGTGGGATGTGGCATGGTGGGTGGGATGTGAGATGCTCGGTGGGATGCGGGATGCTCGGTGGATGCGGGAGGGATGTGGGATGGTACCAGACAGGCAGGATACTGGGTGGGATGCAGGATGCTGGGTGGCATGCAGGATGGCACCGGACAGGTGGGATGTGGGATGGCACCAGATGGGTAGGATGCTGGATGGGATGCGGGATGCTGGCTGGGATGCAGGATGGCACCAGTTGGGGAGGATGCTGGGTGGGATGAGGGAAGGCGCCAGATGGGCAGGATGCTGGGTGGGATGTGGGACTGCACCAGATAGATGGGATGCTGGACGGGATGTGGGATGGCACCAGATGGGGAGGATGCTGGCTGGGATTCTGGGTAGGATGCAGGACAGCACCGGACAGGTGGGATGTAGGACAGGATGCAGGATGGCACAGGATGCAAGACAGCGCTGGGTGACCATGACCATAAGAGACTTGGCACCCTCTGGTGACATGCCAGAAAGCTTCAGCCCAAGAAACCATCAGCTCGGAGCTGTTCCCAGAGCCCGGCTGCACCCTCTGGGATGGGGTGCAACAGTCCTGGGCAGCCCCATGCTGATGGGGAAGAGGGCACACTCACCTGCCGGTAGGTACAGATGATGATTTCTCGGAGGTGGTAGTGCATGGGTGTCATGGTCTCACTGACAGTGTCCAGGGCCATGTCCACCTCCTTCTTCATCCGGTGACCATCAGGCAGGAGCTGGACCACTTTCATCACCACCTAGAGCATGGGTAGAAACAACAGGGGTTTCACCGGGTGCTTCCTCACCTCTACCTGACTGCTCCATCCCTGCCCGGGAGAGGACCCAGCCCCTCCAAACAAGCTGCTGCGGCTAAGGAGTGGGCTCAGTGGGGGATCCCGAAACAGAGTTAGGCGCAAGGACTCACCTCAAACTCCCCTTTGGTGTACTTGGCGTCAGGCACGCTCACAATTTCCTCCTCGCTCATCTCAGGCATGCCCTGGGGCAGAGAGGACCATGCGTTAGGAGCTGCACGGCCCCATCCCCGCTGCCCAACAGCTGAGCAGAAACACAGACCCCAAACTCAACCCGTCGGGACCCGAGACATCCCCCACTCTCCCCTCTGCACAGGCAGAGAAGCCCCAAATTTTATGCTCATCTGCTCTGCAAGGGGGTCCGTGTCTCTCCTGCACTTAACCCTTCATCCTTTGGGAATGGGGCAAAGGCTCACTGGCGATGCTCCATACTTCTGGAGCTCGTTAGGTGCTAGACACAGCAAGAGGCTAACGAATGGGTGCCTTGCCCACCCTGCAGCCCACCTTGGCCCTCCCCACGCTCCTTTTAGCTCTCCCATTGCGCAACGGCTGCTGCGGGCTGTGCTGAGCTTCCCCGACAGCCCCCGCTCCGGCCCCAGCCCCAGGGAGAGCTGCAGACCCCGGTACCCACGTTGAAGTGCCAGAGGGTGAGGACGGCGATGACCATGGCTGTGGTGGTCCTGCCCCGGCCGCTGGAGCAGTTGAACACGAAGGCTGCCCGCGAGTCCTCAGCCAGGGCGCTCTTCATCGCCTCCAGCAGCCGGTCAAAGTCCTGCCGGCAGCAAAGCCGAGGGGTTTTTATGGGTGCAGCCCACCTCCCTTCCCCACCACGGGATTCCCTCTTGTCCTGCAGCCTCCAGGCTAAAATCCCTGGCTCCTCGCTGCACACACCGGATCCAGCCCAGCATCCTCCATCCTCAGCCGGCTGAAGACACCCAGGCTCTCCACACAGCATCTCCCGGGGGACCCTCACTGCCCCATCAAGCACCCCACACTCAACCTGGGCACACCACCATCGTCCTGGGGCTGGGTGGCACCGAGCACCCAAGTGACATTCACCCCACGGCAGCTGGCGTGGCTCGGGAAGGACGTGGCTGCGCCATCCAACCCCCAGGGTACCTTCTCCTTGGGAGCGCAGAAGTCTGGGATGGGGATGCGGCAGTAGCTCAGCCCTTGGCAGGCGTTCTTCTGCTGGCTGAATATCTCCTGTGTGGTCAGGCAGCTCTTGAACATCTTCATCTGCTTCTCCGCCTCCAGGTACACCTCCAGCCACTTCTGGCACTTCAGCAGGTCACCCTTCAGGGTTGTCTCTAGTTTCTGCAGAGGACAGAGAAACCCTCACCATAAGACCTACTCCTCTTAATTTTTGTCAGGATTTGAATTATCTATTTATTTTTTAGATGCAGGCTGACACCCCTCTCAAACACCCCGCAGCCAACGCAAAACCCCACACCAGGTCCTGGCCCACCGCTTCAGCCCAGGACCACGGTCTCCACCGTGCTTGATGGGAGCCTCAGGCAGGAGCATCACCTCCCACCACCCGGGGCAGCTCCTCCACGTGGCCATGCTGCTGCCGGCAGCCAAGCTCCTCCGCTGCCTGTCTTCTCTGGAAACCCAGCTTGGAACATCTGCTCTCCTTTCCCCGGGTGCCTTTTACCCTGGCTTTCAAGCTGCGCTATAAATTCTTCGGGGGAGGATCTCCGCTTTGCTCTGCCTTCGCAAACCCTTACACAGCGACAGCAAAGTCAGGAGGACTCCTTTATTTTCGCAGTACGATAAAGAGCAGGTGGACCTGCTCTTTATGATCTTAAAGGTGGTCTTAAAAGGGCAGGTGGACCTGCTGTTTAGGATCTTAAAGGTCTTTTCCAACCATAATGACTGATTCTATGATGGGTTGGTTTTGCATCAGCCGGGCTGTCCCCAGCCTCCAGCAGACACGGAGGGCGCAAACCAAGCACCGCACCCGATACAACTGCTGCCTCTCATTGCCAAAAGAAAAATAAAATAAAATCCAAACCCAAAACAAGCAGCTCCAGGGCGGTGAGGGACTATCAAAGCCTGTGGACATCACCCCACGAGGGCTCCTGGGAGGGGGAGATCAGCCTTTCCCAGATGGGAAGGAACCCTTGCTGCTCCCGGCATCTCCTCAGTGGGCAGGAGCTCACCTCCAGCTGCTGGGGGGAGGCAGTGGGCACAGGGATCAGCTCCTCCAAATGCCCCGGCTCCCGCAACGTATAAATCTGCTCGTTCCCCTCCAGGACCACTTCTTCCCGGAGGCTGATCCAGACGATGCGGGCGTGCTTCCTCTTGGCGTCTGTCAGGTACCGCAGGACGCTCCCCAGGGTCTAGGGGAAGGGGTGGGCAAGGGTGATGGGAGGGCTAGGAGCCCGTTGTGGGTCACCTTGCTTGGTGGCCCTCACCTTGGTGGCCTTCCCCTCACCTTGGAGCTGGGCTGCGCCGTCCCGTAGACGGGCATCTTGGGCACCCGTCGGAAGTTGGCCACGCTCATCTCCTTGGCGGTGCTCAGCACGTCCGGGCAGAAGCGCTCATCCGCCACCTGCAGCGATGCAAAGCCTGGGCAAGGGGTGTCCCCCTCCCACCCACGGGCTTTCCAGCGCATCACAACCTCTCACCCGTGGTCCTCACTCAGGAGAAGTCCCCAAACCCTTCCAACCCCAGGAGGACAGGGCTGAAAGCCATACGGCTGCATTTCAAAGGTGGGAGATGGCTCTTCTTGAGGCAACACCATGCAGCAGCAAGCCACCAACAGCTCTGGCCTCCTTCTCCCCTGCCACAGCCACCCAGGAGCACCAAGAAAGGTGACGCTGCAGCTAGGCTTGCAGCCCAGGCTCATATTATGGGGTGCCCCAGCATGCCGGTACCCGGGGTCTGCAGGGTTGGACACATCCGTATGCACAAAGGGTCTCAGGCCATATGCCCATCCTTGCGGAGAATGCAGGCAGGACATGGATCTAAGAGCCCAAGACAGACCTGGAGACCCCAACATGGACCTGGAGACCCCAACATGGACCTGGAGACCCCAAGACTCAGTACCTGCCCTCCAACAGGGAAACCCCTTGCTTCTCCCACCCCACCAAACCTCTTTTGAGGGCAAGCACCCCAGGAAGGTGCTGTTCCCAGGGGACAATGAGGAGCCACCAACCCCTATCCCTCCACCCAGGATGGGTACTCACCAGCACTCGCGTCCCCTTGGTGATGAGGTCCCCGCTGACGGTGAGCTCCGACGAGTTCATCTCCGCCTGCAGCCGGTAGAGCTCGGGGT